ATCTTCCTTTATTTTTGCTGTAATAAGTTATTCAGTATTTTTCAAGTTAAGTTAGCTTTTTAAAGTTTCTTACTTGACAAAAGTCATTGAGAAATCAAAGCCAAAAAGTGCACTAGTTTGATCTCAAGTGTACGTTTGTCTCCAGTTAAAAAATGGTTCCCATTGTCATTTCCGAAAATATAAAGGACAAATTGATGCTGTATTTTTAGCTGTCACATTCTTATCAAAGAGCATATTTCCTACATGAACAAATATTTGACTCCACCACTACGGAAAACTGAAAAAGTGTAAATTTCCTCTATTTTAAATCATTTGAGAGTGCCTCCACGATTTGCCATCATATATCACTTGAATAAAGGTCAGTCAGAGAACTGATGGAAAGACATGAATGTGGGACTGAGAGACATTTTCCCCAATTTTACTTCCCTAGAAAATAACCAGGAACTTAAAATGAACCAGCAACTAGTAATGAAAAATAAACTCAACTTGTGACCTACACAAGGCTGGAAGTAAGACTGAGGAATTTGACTTTAATGTGGCACGCCTAGTTTTTATTTTAAGGAAAGGAAATTGAAATGTTGCCCTTGAAATTTTGTTTTGAAGTCAGTACTTACAGTAGCCAGTTGTTCACATTGGACGATAATGTAGAATTTTAGAAGAAATAAAGTAACTGCATAAAGATATATTCAAATCTTGTACATTATGAGCGTCATATCAAGGTGTAAATGTACGTGTTATGTTGGCAACACCGAGAGACAGACGGTACGATACTGTTCGGCTGAAAACCCGCCAACGAAATGACAGGAACATACGCAATACTAACAGATTCTAGAAAACCACGTGATTGCAAGGAGCCAATAGAAAGAGAGGAGGAAAGGTGTGCCGCGAAAGGAATAGGATGAATGAAAAGGGAACCCACGCGGTCTGTACGGGGAATTGGAGGCGAATACGAGCCGTTTTGCACACTGTTGTCCCTTTCCACACACATACACAGAATGGTACCGCTGCTGAAAAAGAGACCAGTTCTTTTGTTGGATTCCTTTGTTCGGTCTCTCCTAAACAATAAAATGTTCGGAGACTCACGGAGGATTAAACGCCGCTATCTTTCGTTACGCTTGGGTGAACAACAATGGGGAGAATTGAAGCAGAAAATATCGAAAAACTCGCCTTTAAAAGCAATTCAGACTACAAAATGAAACTTTTTGCAGAGGAAATTGAATAACAAACCAAACCATAGTTTCAAAATTTCAAAATTCGCCTGGAAAAAAAAGTTGGCTTTTCAGGAATTGCTGGTTCCACGTTAAAACTTTCTCCTCTCCGACGTTGGTGGCGCTATAACATTGAAAGTCAACGGTGCATGTGCCATGTGTGCACAATAATGCACGCGTTGGCTATTTAGCTAGCATAGTGTCCCGAGAATTCCGTATATTTCACTGTCTTAATTCCCAAGGGGAAAAATACAATAAAGATATCAGTTTGTTTCAGTAAAAAAAAATTTTTTTTGAAAGTTTCGATCGTTTTAATTAAAATTGTTTTCTTGCGGAGAAAGGGCGGCACAAGTCCCTCAGCTCTCACTAGTCTGTACGCGAGGACTTTAAATGTTAAAGCGCCATCAACGGCAGGTTGGAGAAAGTTTAAGCGTGGAACCAGCCAGTCCTGAAAAGCCAACTTTTTTATCCCGGCTAATTTTGAAATTTTGAAACTGTAGTTAGATTTGTTATGCAATTTCCTCTGCAAAATGTATCGTTTCGTTGCCTAAAATGCATTTGAAGGCGAGTATTTTGATATTTTCCGCTTCAATTCTCCCCATTGTTGTTCACTCAAGCGTAACGAAAGATAGCGGCGTCTAATCCTCGGTAAGTCTCCAAACATTTTATTGTTCAGGAGAGACTGAACAAAGGAATCCAACAAAAGAATTGGTCTCTTTCTCAGCCAATGTACGGTTTGTTTAACGTGCGTGCAACGGGACCCCAAAGTTTAAACGCCTTGTATTTGCCTCTAACACGGATTCGTATTCCCCGTGCAATCATGGAGGAAGGAACCTTCCTCCATGGTGCAATCTATGGAAGGTTTCGTCTCCCTCTTCTAAGTTCTAGTTCCATTCCTATTGGCTCCCTTCCCACACGTGGTATGTTTTTTGCCGTCGCTTATTTATTACATATACGTGTATAAGTCCTGTCATTTTGTGGCCGGGTCTTTAGCCGAGAAGCATCGAAACGCTCAGATCTAAGGACATCCGAGTCACGTGAATTCCACCGTGACCTCGCTGTTGACCAAAAATCCCCACTGTTAATGCGCCATTTCTTCTACGTTTGTAAACCTTATGGTTCTGTCGCCAGTTTACATCCAGCGGCCAGTCAATCTACACAAGAAGGTAATTAAGAAACTGACTGAGGCCATTTCACTTCAGCATACGATCCTTGAAACCATCAATGTGTACACATGTACGTAATGGCGCAGTTTTGCACAATTTTCCCCCATATTTCTTAGTGTTAGCATGCAGAAAGTCGAAATCCCAGTCGTTTCAAGTACTTGTTTGGCAGATCGTAAAATTTAGATCCTGACTTTGCACATAATGTGCGCTAGGGCTTTACTTGGGTACCATTAATTTCGATTCAAAGAGGTTATCCCCATAAAATGGTTGATAGCTCTCTAGTTAAGCTTAACAAATGATCAATTTTTTGAGGGCTTAGTTTATATAAAAACTAAACGCCTATCAAAGACAATAAAATAAACAGAAGAGACTTGATAAGTAAATCTACTTTTCCTGTTTTATTGTAAACTGACTTAAATTCGTGCATGGAACTTGACAATTATAAAACATTACATTTTGTAAATATTACCTTAACAATGTTTGTGACTCTGATTTCAGAAAACAACTATTGCTATAGAAAAAGGTGAATTTTGCTCTCCCTGGACTTAACTTACAACTTGGGTTTTTATTTTTATTAAGGGACAAAGCAAATGGTTACCCCCCCCCTTGTTGCATCTGAAATCATAACGACATCGGAGGAGTTGGGACAGTTAGTGTTACATCATTTCCCTGCTGAATGTGAGTTTTTAGGGAATGTTATAACTTCAGTCTTGACGGCTAACAAACCAATGCAAGGGAGTCTCACATACGGACACCACATTGCACCCTATGCACAAATCCTACAGAGTAGAGGTCTCAGTTTTTTTCTAAGTAAACAACCTGGTTTTTCTCCCTCCTAAATTGAACTTTACTGGACATGGTTTTGCTTTCTGATGGCTAATAGGAACTCATCCCCGGAACTCTCATCTC